TACATACCAGTACCTACAGATACATACCAGGTACCTACAGGTACATGCAGAGTACATACAGGTACATACCAGGTACCTACAGGTACATGCAGAGTACATACAGGTACATACCAGGTACCTACAGGTACATGCAGAGTACATACATGTACATATCAGGTACCTACAGGTACATAGCAGAGTACATACAGGGTACATCCAGGTACCTACAGGTACATGCAGAGTACATACAGGTACATACAGGTACCTACAGGTACATGCAGAGTACATACAGGTACATACCAGGTACCTACAGGTACATGCAGAGTACATACAGGTACATACAGGTACCTACAGGTACATGCAGAGTACATACCAGGTACATACCAGGTACATACAGGTACATACCAGGTACATACAGGGTACATACAGGTACCTACAGGGTACATACCGGTACAGTACCTACAGGTACATACCAGGTACCTATCGGTACATACCATGTATGTATAGGATACTCACTAGGTACTTGCAGTGTACATATCAGATACTTACGAGGTACATAAAGGAYAGGTACATACTAGGTACTTACAGGGTACWTAATTTMAATTCAAATTCAAAAATAAGGGAAATTACAGAACAACTKAGTACATACCAGGTACTAATAGGATGAACACTAGGTACATACAGATTATATAACAGATACCTACAGGGTTCATACCAGGTGCTTATYGAGTAAATACCAGGTACTTACAGTGTACATACCAGTTATATACAGGTACATATAGGATAGGTTCATACATGTGCTTACAGAATACATACCGTTTACATAGTACTTAAAGGTACATACTAGGTAYGTATCTGATGATGTACTTACTCTGTAAGTACCAAGTTCTTACAGGGTACATACCAGGTACTTATCAGGTACTAACAGCATACATAGGTACTACTAGGTAGGATACATAGATACTGTTTACTTATAGGATAAATACTAGGTATACAGAGTACATACTAGGTACCTACAGGGTACATGCGGTACATAATAGGTACTTATAGGGTAAGTAGTATATACCAGGTACATATAGGGTACGTACCCAGTATTTACAGGGTGTATGACAGATCCTTAATTTTGCATCAGTTTGAGTTTTCTGTCCTGAGGCTTCAGTAGAAACCTGAGTGAAGTGCAGGAGGTCAGAGAACAGCTTCTGTCCGACACAACTCGTGTTGGATTTCAGTCCTGCAGCGTGGCAGCGGTCTGCAGGGCCACWCACTCACAGGTTCAACTCACCAATCAACATGCACCGTGCATTTGACTGACCTCCAGTCAGTTTGGGTTCAAACTATGGAGTCCGCCTTAAACGGAGTGTAAAAATAAATCAGTTGCACACGGAGTTCTCGTTTGAAAAACTGGAGAGTTTTGAATAAACTGGATGTTTTTTTTAAAAAGCAGGTTTTCTTTGATTCGGAGCAGCAGCCCTGCTTTTTATTTAAATTCTCTGAAAAAAGTCCTGCAGACAAACGAATCAGGATTACAGAGGAGCTGCAGCAGAGACGAGCTGTAAAAAACATCAAACAGGAAGAGTTCAAAAACCTGCAACTAAAAYAGCCACAGCTGGAAGACCCCCTTTTCTTTTAATGATGCTAGAAAACAACAACATCATCAGATACTAAGTTTAGATAGAAAATATTCATGAAACTCGTGTTTTCTAAAGGTAAAATTCACAGAAAACATCCTATAAAGTCTGGATTTTCTTTTAATGTTTATCTTGTAAAAAATGTTTAAAATGTTATTTCCAGAGTCAAACAAATTCTTATATATTCTGCACAAATACAACAGAGTTTCTAAT